GGGCCAGGCATACTTCTCGAAATGACTGTGGAGCAGGGAAATGCCACATACTGTATGTATCTGTGGAAGATATTTAGGTAACTGGAGACTGACCTTTAAAGTTTTTTAGTATCTGTTGCCAAATGTTGAATAAAGGAATGACTCTAGATGTTGTAAATGTTGGGCATCTGAATCATTCTGGAGCACTACACACACACACCCACACATGCACACACACATACACACATATATACATATACATATACATATACATATTTTTTTCTCAGGTACACGGCGTTACTTATGAAGATTTAAATGAAAAGTTGGCCAGTTACACAAGGCAGAACCTGGATTAGGGAATGAGGGAGAATATAAATTTGGCTAGCTGGGAAGAGAGCCATGAGCATGGATATAAAACCATGACTTATTTAGAAAATAGGCTGTGAATTTTAGTAAAACAGACCTGAAGTTTGCTGCTAATGAGTTTTTATTAGGTTTGCTAGGTATTAGGCCTAGGTATTAAGCCCAGCATGCATTAACTATTTTTCCTAATGCTGTCCCTCCCGCTACCATGGATGGAGCTGGAAGCCATTATCCTCAGCAAACTAACACAGAACAGAAAACCGAACACTGCATGTTCTCACTTATAAGTGGGAGCTGAACAGTGAGAAGACATGGACACAGGGGAGGGCTTGTTTTCTAGAATAACTTCTGCCCAATGAGAAATGTCACCCTCCTGTTAGAACTCACTAGAAAGAGTGAGGGTCCTGACCTCCAGGGCTTCCTCACCTAACTGAAACCAACCCAGATGCCGTGCTATTGGCAGTAGAATGTATTGAAATTCTACCAAACAGCCCAAATAGAATTGTAGCCATTTTGTAACTCTTTCTTTGATTGCAAGAAGTGGTAGCATTTCCAGATTTCAAAGGCAGCTTTGTTGCCTTCTTGCATGGTTTTCCACCAGTTAGCGTGCTTGGCATAATCCTTCCTTTTAACTGCGTGATGCAGTGCTATAGGAACTAACTCATCTTAGTGTCACCTGTTTAACCGCTTTTCAGTGTTTGTCACCCCAGTCACAGATCCTAGGCCTTAGTAATATAACATCCTTTAGTTGGAAACCAGAAGATTGATATAAAATTCAGCAACTTAGTAGTTACTAGGAAGTATTAATGAAGTGCTCCTCCAGGTTTATTTTTCACTGAGATTTTAGCTGATTTGAAACGTCTAATTAGACTATTATTTGTCTTCAGAGTTAACAATTATAATGAAGTTTAAAAAATTAGGCAAAGTAATTTATATGTCAGGATAGGAGTGGTAGAATGGTTTGAGATAAAGAAATATTAGCCAACTTGCCAAAATTTTGACCACATTTGGCATTTATTGAGTGCATACTGTGTTCCAAGTCTTGTATTAGGCACTGAAATGACTAGTGAGAAGAGTGAAAAGGATTGTTGCCAGAATATATTATAGTGTTGCTTTATTTTTGAACTCTTTAGTTTAATGCAGCACTGACCTTTTGAGTCTTCTAAGATATTAAATCAGTTTTTTATTATATGTGAATTAAGTAATTGCTTTCTTAAATTTGATTTTGATTATGTGTAGAGACATATCTATTTAACAACAACTTAAATATGATCAAGCAATGGTAGGAATGTCATTGTTTCTGGGAACATTTTGTTGGTCACAGAATAATTTTCAGTGTGAAAAACTGAAGAAACTTAGGTTGTTTCTTAAACCCGTTTTGTCATCTGCCTTTTTATGATTTTCTTGATTTTATCACTGAAGCATTTATCAAATCTAGTTTTTTGGGTCATACTTTGCTTAATGGTGTACAAAAATAACTACACAGATGTGTTATAATTTATCTTTTCAGTCAGGCAGCTTTGAAAATGTACAAAGCATATTAGACCATTAGTCACACTCAACTTACTGTTTTGCAAAAAAATGAGGTATCAGTCTACAATGTAGTACTTTTTCACATTCATTCAGTAGAAGATGATTATCAGACAAGGGAGGTGAAGTAGAAAGTTTAACCAATAAGGGTGCGTCCTTTAGGCAGCTTCAGAGACACTGTAGAGATGGGCATGAGATAAATGGCAGTCTGTAAGGGTGGTAGTGAAATGAGCTGAAGTACCTTTAAAGTCTTGCATTTGATGGAAAGCCACTGCAGTACTTTAATTGATGAAAGTAATACAGTTAAAGTACAAGACGTTCAGAACAGGTTTACTCAGGGCAGTGTTGGTGGCTGGAAGGTTGTTGAAGAGCGGGTTGCAGTAATCTGATGAGAGGTGGTGAGTGGTTAAGGAAGTGGCAGTAGAACTACAGCGAGCATACAGAAAGAAGTGTCCTGGGAGGCAGTTTAGCTTAAGGCATTTGGGAAAGAAAACTGTGCCAAGTATCGTACATTGATTCAATGTGTAGTCCTGTTTGGGGCCAATTCGATGCTATCTAGGGAGTGGAATTAAATGAAAACATGCATAGTCCATGCCACCTCCAAGTTTGTGACCCTCCCTTTTTTTTTTTTTTTTTTATATATATAAATAGAACTTTGGAGTAGAAGTATAGGGAAATTTAACTGCTGTTCAAAAATGTATCACCCATTTTTTCTCTTTTGGCAAAATTGCCTCACTCCTTTCTTTAGAGCTATTTTGCTCATCACTGAGCCTCTCAAATCATTTAACATCATTTTATAAACCAAAAATCCATTGAGATAATTGACTGAAAAAGATAAAATTGCTCTTTTTTTACAAGCTCTTTTTGTTTGTTTTATTCTTTATAAAAATGCTTCCTGTTACAATTCTTTAGCTATGTACTAAAGAACAAGTAGGATGTGATAGCTTCCACTCCTGTCCTCCGCCTCCTCCACTGTAACCTTGGGCCTTAGTGGAGTATTATTGTTTTGTTAGCTTGCCTCTACAATAATTTTCCTAAGCTTTCTGAAAAGCTTCAATGCTAAACAACAATGTAGAGCATTCTTTCTTGCAATAGACGCTAATTGTGTTCTTAGTTGGGATCTTGCTGTCATAGCCACAATAACTGTGTCAATTGTGCGGGGAGGCTGGGTCACAGTGGTTATTGTGCAGAGTGATGAATGCTGCTTACTTGTGATGTGCTGCCGCCCGCATCTGTGGGTGAGAACACGCAGTTACTGTAATTTGCCGGGCAAGTGATCAAACTGGTATAAAATAACATCATCTGTTAAGCAAGATAGCAGTCACAAAGAACTATTGACCTTTTGAAATATAGAATTTTTAATGAGAAACTTTGAATAATAGAGATTGAACGTGTGAGAACAGCTACCTAGTGTGTGTTGCGTTATTAACCCCTAGTTTGTAGTGTATTCCGGAGTCAAGTTGACCTACATAGAAGAGAAGGAACTGGGAATGCATGTCTGTGTTCTGGCTCCGATTGGGAAGAGCTGCTTAACCACTGTAAGTTACAGGTTGGATAAGTGACATATATGGTGTCAATTGGGAACCAGGCTTCACAGTTTCACAAAATGTGTGGATTCTGAAAGTGTTGTCATTGCGAATGTAATTTCCTTGCCTAGTTCTTCCATATACTTAAGGAGAAGATATTTTTAATGTAATTGTTAGAATATGTTGGTACATACTGATTCTGAAGTAAAAGGAAATATATATATATATATATTTTTTTAAGTAAACTTGATGGTGTTTTGCAAGGATCTGAAGAGTCCCAGTATGGAGCTGAGCTGATTATTTTCTTGACTGTCCACATCCCACAGTTTTTTTTTTTTTCACTCTCTCCATCCCACTGCCCATTTTAAAGCACTTTTCAGCTGTCTGATTGCTCATTAGCATTGCTCATTAAAAGTGGTCTGGGGGCATACATTTCAAAGCAGTCCTTTTAATACTTGGTTTTTCAAGTTTTGTTAAATTCCCAGTGAATACAAACCAAGTTATTTCTTGACGTTTAGCCTTGTTTATATTTTTTATATCATTCCTTCTGCTTAGTACATGTCTAAATGATTACTTTTCAGAAAAGTGAATTTTGCCTAGCACATTGATTTGTATCTCCTGACAGGAGAGTAAACCATGTTTGGTGTGCCTTAAGCTTTCATGATTTGGGATTTGTGTGAGTGTGTGTGTGACCCCAAGAACATGGAGATACAAGGGGTGGTAATTTTGGAGGGGAGAAGTACATTAATTAGACAAGTGAGGTAATGTAAGAATGAGATCATCTGCCCATGGCTGGTGTGATTCCTTTTTGTTCATTATTTTTAATTTAAAACATTGTATTAAAGTAATAACATGTATATTCCTACCTTGAAAAGCTAGTTATATAAATAATATGTATGTTTAATGCAGATAATTTGCAAGATTTTTTTAAAAGAAAAAATCCAAGTGATCACCAATAGTCTCTGTACCGGCCACCTAAGATAGTCATTGTTAAGTTCTGGTATAGATACCCCTCTGTTACTTTGTACATCGTTTTTCCTTTAAACCTTGTTTTGGTCTCAAGGCCATTCGGAAACACAATAGTCATTCTGAGTCCTCCCATAATCCGATAATGAATTTACATAAAATATTTTTTATCAACGTATTCTGATACTGAGTAGAAAAATATAGAATTACATATAGTTAATATTAACGTTTCCCTTAATTCCTAAAGATTAGAAAGATTATACATTTGAGCTTTTCTTTTGACACTAATCCTTTTTTATATTGCAAAACACTAAATCCTTATATGGAAATAGAAAATTGAAGACATTTCTAATGTAGAAACTCAAAATAAATTTTCATTATTATACGGGCATGTTGGCTTTAATCAAAGTAAGATTGATTTACTTTTTTTAAATGGATGTATAAATAGGACCCTAATTGACAAATTGTTTATTTTGTATATATTTTGTATTTAGACAAGTGGAGGTCAGTTAAAATAGTCTTATGAAAAGTTGCTTTGTCTCTCTTTTTTTTAAAAATCTCTTCCCTTTCTCCTTCTGACAAGTCAACATCTGCTTGCATATAGCTAACTGCTGCTATTTTCTGCTTCTATGACAGCTAGCCGATGGCGGAGTCTCTTCTCTTCAGCTGCCTCACTGGCTTTTCCTTATAGTCCTGTTGCAAGACTCAGCCCTTATAGCAATGGCATTAATACTCCCAGCTTCTCTAAAACCTCAAATAAAGCAATACTAACACCTGAAAAAACAGGTAATATTTTAACTTCTTGACTAGCTGCTTGCTTTGTAATTCAGTTACTAAACACAGCTTAAATATTCATCTTTCATTGGAAAGCTTCAGAATAATCTTAGAATGGAGAGTTTGTGCTGCACATTTACTTTGGGTACAAAAGGCCTAGCACTAATTTGTACTCTAACACCATTGATCTACTGCTCTCAGTTGTATGTAGCAGACAGTCTTACCTCTTTAGCAAAAGTATATGCCTGCAGTTCTGTATTTCCAAATGCTTATGTGTTTTTAAAATTAAATGTCAAACACAATTTAGGTAGTTTTTATTATTCAAGACTGTAAGTCTTTATTTTTTTAAAGTTTTTTCTGGTAGCTTTTAAATTTAGCTAAGGCTATGTAGAAGAAAATAGTCATAGTGGCTTTTTATGAATGAGGATCTCACCATTCCTGTAGCCTTCTTCTATTTGTTCTTTGGTTCTTTTATCTGAAACCATCGAGTTTTTTACTCTCATGGGTGGCTATAAGTCTCCTGTGACTACTCTCTGGTCTATATTATGTGGGTGTTGTATATGTTTCTGCATATGTACGTGTGCCTTTTAGGTGTGATATTCTTACCCATTTGTAGCACTGCTGTTTGTACTCATTAACAAATGGACCAGATTAAAATTTAATTTAAAATTATATAATCAGTTACTGTCACTGTCTTATTACTAAAGTACACATGAATATATATTCTTATACCATGCCTTTAGATATGGACATATCTAATAGGATATAGATTTTAGCAGTAGTGAATTTTGCATTGTGATAAAAAATATAATGTGAAATCTACCCTCTTAACAATTTAAGTATATAGTACATAGTGACTTTTTAAATTATGAAAACTGAATTTGAAAACAATGAACAAGTGGTTTTGTATATACGAATTGTATACACATCATGTGCACATTGACCATTAAATGGTGACATGTTGGTGATTTTTGTAGCATGAAAACATGAGACAAATTGCTGACTGTTTGTATATGAATTGTAAGGCATATATGGATACCAATCCTGCAGATGAAAGAACACACATTTCCTTTGTGTTTCAGGTTACACTTCCAGGGGCTCCCCACTCAGTCCCCAGTCATCTATCGACAGTGAGCTGAGTACTTCAGAATTGGAGGATGATTCTATCTCCATGGGATATAAATTACAGGACCTCACTGATGTTCAGATCATGGCTCGTCTGCAAGAAGAAAGTATGTGTTCTTTCTAAACTAGAAAAATGAGGCTTCCACTTGGAATATACAGGCAGAGGGGGAGGTTCAGGCATTTCTCTCCAGGTAATGGGCAAACAATTAGATTCTTTCTCTGATACTGTCCTACTTTTTAGGTGGAGCCAGTTATATGCTTCTCACACTATCATGAGGTGGTAGGAACTTAGTCTGATCAAAACACATTGATACATAGACATTGCTGGTATTGCCACTGTGGAAACAGATGGACAGTTTCCTAAAAAACTAAAGGTGCAACTTACAAGTGGCCCAGCAAACTGCACTCTTGGATATTTATCCCAGAATAGTGGAAATTTGGGTTCACACAAAAACTTGTACGTGAATGTTCTGAGCACCTTTATAGCCCAAATCTAGAATTAGCTTAGATGACCTTCAGTCCGTAAATGATTAAACCAGTCATGCTACATCTATACCATGGAGTACAGCTCAGCTTGTTGTATAAAGAGGAACAAACTACTGATATGCACAACATCTTGCTTGAAGCTGCGGGGAATCATGGTGAATAAAAAAAATTGATCATAAGAGAGTGCATACTATATAATTCCACTCATACAACATTTCGAGATGACAAAAATGTTAGGAACGGAGGACAGACTAGTGGTTGGTGGAGTTTTAGGGATAGGGCTTAGGGTCTCAAGAGGGTCTCGAAGCTGGATGTAGTTATAAAAGGGCAACACAGGATTTTTGCAGTGTTGGTACTATTCATTGGTGGATCTTTGAACCTGTAGGTAATAACATTGCATACAACTTAATACTCTATCTCTCTCTGACACACACACACGCGCGCACACACACACACCCTCCCCTACCTCTGCAAAAATCTGAATAAAATGAGTGGATTATATCACTGCCAATACCCTGGCTGTCATATTATTCTAAAATTTTGCAAAATGTTACCACTGGGAGAAACTGGGTAAAGGGCACAGTTTTGTTTTTTTTTAAAGCACTTCATGTGAGTCTACAGTTATCTTAAAATTTCAATTAAAATGCATTGACATACGTCTCTGGGTAAATAATTGTGAAAGAGTAGATAAGTAGAAATAGGACAGTTTGTCACTGGTTCTGCGATAAAGTTACAAAAAATAATCTGAGAGTGAACTAGTTGAAGGGCATTAATGGTATCAAAAGGCACAGAACTGGACTGTTTGTTTTGGAGTTATCTTTTCAGCCAACATAAGTAGAAATGATCAAGTATTTAAGCATAATAATTTCCTGCTTTCAGAATTAGTCAAGGCTTCTATGAGAAACATGGTAATGCTTATGCAGGATTTAATAAGATACATTTTTAAGGGGAAAAGTGGTTATTTTATATCATTATTTAGTAAAAGCAAATTTAAATACTCTTTCTAAAAATATGTATGGCTAAAATATTGTATGTCAGTTTCAGAAGTTAAGTAGTCAGGGTTAGACCACTTTAAAAAAAAAATTATAGTACTGGCAATGGGTTAAATAATGAGAACCTTGTAGTTTGAGTATTTTTAGATGATGATTACCATATAGGATGACCTAAAACTATTAGAAGTTTTGAGGTGTCAGTGTGCTTTGAAAGAGGTAACATTAGTAACATAAAAGAACAATAGAGAGATGACCTTGTGGGAAAATATTTGTCCCTCGGCTTTTAAACTTTCCCTTTGACTTTAAGAGTCGGGGGTGGGGAGCAGAATGACTTCCTACTTGGGCAGAGACTTGAAGATTTTAATTGTTTTAACTCATAGCAAACTATTCATAATGAGATGAGTATTTCTTCCCAAGTTCCCTTTCTAAAATATCTCTTGATTTGAAAAGGGATCATTTGGGGAAATTGATAGATATTAATGAATGAGCTGTGGCAGGTATATATAATCTTCACTGGAATTGGGGCAATCTTTTTGCAAAACAGAATTGTCCAATATTAGATATCTGTTTCACAGGTAAATGTGATTATCATCTTGGTGAACCTAACTTGTCAATTTAGTAAACTTGAGAACAAGATAATAAGTCTCTGTGAGTAATTTGTTTGGCACAATTTTTCATCTAATACTTGGTTAATTATAACTAAATGTTAGCTAGATCAAAAGACATTAGAGTACTATTTGTTATTTTATAGGTCTCAGGCAAGATTATGCTTCTACTTCAGCATCTGTATCAAGACATAGTTCCAGTGTGTCACTGAGTTCAGGAAAAAAAGGGACATGTAGTGATCAAGAATATGACCGATACAGTCTGGAGGATGAAGAGGAATTTGATCATCTGCCACCACCTCAGCCTCGTCTTCCAAGATGTTCCCCTTTCCAAAGAGGAATTCCCCATTCACAGACTTTCTCCAGCATTCGGGATTGTAGGAGGAGTCCCAGTTCCCAGTATTTTCCTTCAAATAATTACCAGCAGCAACAGTATTATTCACCTCAAGCCCAAACTCCAGATCAGCAACCAAATAGGACCAATGGAGGTAGGTTGTATGCTTTTTTGGTATTTGATATGCTTTGATTTTTTTATATATGGTCAAGAAATGGTTTTTGTTTTTGTTTTTGAGACAGAGTCTGGCTCTGTCCCCTAGGTGGGAGTGCAGTGGCACAATCTCAGCTCACTGCAACCTCCACCTCCCAGGTTCAAGCGATTTTCCTACCTCAGCCTCCCAAATAGCTGGGGTACAGGCACATGCCATTATGCCTGGCTAATTTTTTTTTAATTTTTATTTTTAGTAGAGACAGCGTTTCACCATGTTGACCAGGCTGGTCTTGAACCGCTAACCTCTGGTAATCTGCCCGCCTTGGTCTCCCAAAGTGCTGGGATGACAGCCACCATGCCCAGCCAAAAAACAGTTTTAAGAGAAATATAGATAATTGGTCAATGTTTCTCAGATTTAAAATCATCCTCCAGACCTTCTCAGTTTGGTCTAAATTTGCATCTCTAGTTGACTGGCTTCTGATTATGTATCCCAGATTTATAAACTCACAGCTTCAAGAAAACCTCCATGACATAGCTGACTCAGAATGAGTTATAAATGTGCAGTATCTCTGCATTGTTGCTGGTGCCTGTGGCACAGGCAGGGTGGTACAAGCTGAGAAGTTTGTGGTCAAGCCCATAGGGGCAAAGGCTGTGAGTTGTCATTCCTTACCTTGTGCACAACCTTCAGTCTGTTACTGTCTGTTCCTAGCACAGAGTGAGGTTGTAAGCATGAATGAGGATGCTTGCAGAGGATGCTGCTCTTCCACAGCCGGATCTAGGGAAGTTTGGGATGTGTCTTTCCCCTGATCTCCTGACATCTAGAATTAAGATCTGTGTAGCAGCAGGAACATGGAGGCTGCTGTCCATTAGCATGTGGCATGGTAATGGGAAATTGATCTGTCTTGTCAACGTGGTGGGTTGCTGTATGTGTCATTCTTTCATACTTTTTCCATCTCTTCATTTATCTTTCTTCCACACTCCCAGGAGTTAGACTCTGACTTCTAAGAACTATGGGGGAAACAATCATGTAATATTCTGAGCCTGGTGTGTTTTCGTACTGATGATCACCTGGACCCTCACACACAAATTCTATGTATTATGGAGAAACAAACCAATTAAAAATAATTTATAATTATACAATTACAATTCTTAATTATATAGCACTATTACTCAAAACTGGGCCCAGAAGTGATCAAATGGTCTCTAAAAATATTTATAGGCCAAGTACAAATTTTGTATTAGTGATCAGCCATTACCCTGTATTTAGTTTTTACCCTTTCTTCCTTTGTACTTGTATCATTCATGCTGATGCTAATTAAGAGATCATTTGAAAATATTTAAAATTTTATGTTCATAATTTTTCTTACTACCTTGAGATTTCAAGTTTAGAGGAGTGGTGACTAAAAAAATGTCATCCTGACTAACATTAAAGCTCATAGCATCAGAAAGACAATGTATTCTATGTGCTTAGTGGAAGTCATAACATCTTATTAAAATTGGGAAGGCACCTAGAGTTATTTCTCTAAAGCTTTTTTTTTTTTCCTTAAGTGTTTTAGAACATCATAGTCAAGTTGCCAAGCAGATGCTAGCTGTGCATCTTGATTGATATTGTCAATAAGATCATTCTCCTCCACTTAGCTGTTTGTTGCACCTCAGAAAAGTGGTATTCACTTCCATCAAACACCGTTTGGAAAACATTGGGTTTCTGTGAATCCTATGCTGGGATATTCTTCACAGGAAAGTGGAGACATACCACGGTTTAGGTCCCTTTGTGGTAGTTTTGTTTTGCCTAAAATGTCTAGTTTTCACAATACAAGAAAAATGGAATACAAAGGCAATTTTCTGGATATGACTTCTGACTAGTTAGCTTAATGGTTGAGAGCAGAGGCTCTGAAGTCCAGCAGATCCTGAGTTTCTCAACTCTCTGAGGTTTGGTTTCCTTAACTAAAATGTGGAGAAGATAATATCTATCTCTTAGGAAACTTAGATATAATTTCACACCAAACCATCTGGTACACATTTTCTCCACCTAAATATATTATAAGGAGTAAATGAAAATAATGAATGTTACATTGCCTGGAGCCTGGAGTGGATGTGCTAAATAAAGGTTATCTTCTCCCCTTTTGTTTTTAAACTTTTATTAGCATATGATTCAGATGTCCTAGCCTGCATTTGTTACTATAGAATATTGAGCAAAACTGTGAAATAAGAATAGTAACTAACTTTGAAACTAATCTATTAAATATTTTTCTAAATTATCAAAATAATATAGATAGGAGAAAATAATTGTTAAACTGTTGATTCATTTTAAAATAATTGAGAATAAACTAGAAATGTATATTAATATTTACTGCTTTCATAGTTCCTACACTGCTTAGATTTAAAGAGATGGCTCATAAAACTTCCTGGGATATTTCTGGGATTCATAGAATTAAAAGAAGTGTATCTGGAATAACTTGCTAAATTTCAAAATGACTAAACTTGTAGAATCTTTACCAACTTTCTTATAATTTCCACGGTATGGCAGGGGTTACTGGTGGCATGATGTAGTCCTTATTATCATGAGGACCTCCCCTGGAGCCTGTGTTGCCTCGATACCTAGATCTAGCTGTTTGGTAGATAATGAGCGTCTCCTTTAGCCATAAAGATTCCTGAGTCTTTGTTCATAGAGTGGTGAGTCTTGCTGCCTCTTTAATGTGAGCAAACTCATTTGAATTCTTTACTTGTTCTGTTCTTCCAGTTTCCTGCAGCATCTCAGTCCTTGAAGATTAAACTGCTGATTTCTTGTTAAGATAGAAATAGAACATTACTTTTGGTTCCCTGAACTTTAAAGTATATGTGGTTATTAAAACATTCCACACTGTGGCTGGGCACGGTGGCTCACGCCTGTAATCTCAGCACTTTGGGAGGCCGAGGCGGGCGGATCAGGAGGTCAGGAGATTGAGATCATCCTGGCTAACACGGTGAAACCCCGTCTCTACTAAAAATACAAAAAATTAGCCGGGCGTGGTAGTGGGCGCCTGTGGTCCCAGCTACTCGGGAGGCTGAGGCAGGAGAATGGTGTGAACCCGGGAGGTAGAGGTTGCGGTAAGCCAAGATCGCACCACTGCACTCCAGCCTGGGAGGTAGAGGTTGCGGTAAGCCAAGATCGCACCACTGCACTCCAGCCTGGGCGACAGAGCCAGACTCCACCTCAAAAAAAAAAAAAAAAAAAAAAAAAAAATTCACATTGTTTGACAGAAAATGTACCTCATTTCCAGATGGTCTGACACAAGTTGGAGATCACAGCTTTGTTCCAAGGGGAATACTGTCCTAAATATTTACATTTGGAAGACCTTATTTTTAAGAGCATATTTCAAGATTAAAGCTTTGTAAAACTGACTTGTTGCTTAAATATGAGTAAAGATTGGTTTTAAAGGCTAACACAGATTAGAGACATAACCAAGTGTAACGTATGGACCTCGATTGGATCGTGGTTTAGAGGAAAAACTTATGAAGGATATTCTTGGGATGTCTGAAAAATTTTGTATGCAGATTATCATATGATATTGTTAATTTGTTGACATGTGTTTACAATATTGTGATTCTATAGAATTACAATGTACATTAAAAGTGTCAAGATGTCTGAAGTTTTATCTCATTTAGCAAAGCAAACAAATGTATATGTGGAGATGAATTAAATATGGCAAAATGGAAACAACTAGTATAGCCAGGTGGAAAAACAGGTGTTTATGATACTATTTTTAAACATTTCTATATATATGAAAGCTATTATAGTAAATAGTTGGAGAGAGATTTTAAAAAGAAATATAGAAGCTCAATTAATTTTCTCAATAGCATATAATTATGTTCCTGTGCCTCCCTGCTGCTTAAATATATATATATATATATAGGAAATGTATATAGTGAAAATAGTCTAGTACTGATAGAGGCTGACTTTTTTACACTAGATTTTATGATATTCAAAAGATCTAGATGTGGCCACTAAGTGTATGTAGAAATGAATCCTTCTAATTCCTCTCTTCTTACTACACACTGTCTGCCAAATCATACACATAATATTTGCTGATGTATGACGTACCTGCTGTTTGAGGCTGGGAACTTTAATAGGAATTTGGGAATATGAGACATACGATTGTTAAAAATAGGCCTCAAGAAGATAATGAGGAAAAGTACCCAGGAATCTAACAGTCAGTGGCAATATTTGAGCATCCTTACTCTAGAACTACACACAGAAAGTATCTACCTCTTAGTGTAAGAGGTAGATAGCTCAGCTGGGAAGTCCATAGAAAAGCTTCTCTATGCTGGGGATAATTGTGCCAAATCTTAAAGTATTAGTAAGAGCCACATGAGTAAAATATTCTTTTGTGCTTTTTACTGTAGCACTCTCTGCAATTTCTTATGCTTTCTTATTATACATATTATCTAAGTATACTTATTGTGCTTGTTTAATCTTCTGTCTTTTCCACTCCAAGGGGGCAAAAATTGCTGGCCATGGCAACATTTAATAGGTGTTAGTAATGTCAAAGGAGCAGTGTATGAAGGGGGAATGAGAAGAGCTGAGTTTGATTTTGACTTGAATGCCTTTTGGATTAGTATTCAAGTATATCATTATTTTCTGGTTTTGCTTGAAAGAAAATGACCACAAGATTGAATGCTCTGATATGTGCACTTTAGTGTTTGGGAGTATATATCAATAAAGATAAAAAGATCTTGTAAGTTGGAGGGGTGAAAAAAATTTTAGATATTACAATGATTTATGATCTTCCATGGTTTACCCCTATCAAAATGTTAATCTTTAGTATTTACTTTGTTTGGGAGAAAATTTAATTTTAAGTTTAATTAAATTTGTTTTACATTTTCTCTTTAGGATCAACAATGGGTGGGGAAGGATTGAGAAGCACTGGTATAGACTATAAACCTAGACCATCAATCTTGACTATAAACTCAATGAGACTCGGGACTGTATCTGCCTAATACACTGTGATATCCCCAACAGCTCACAGAATGCCTGGTATTTAGTGTAAACACAGTAAATGTTTGTTCCCTTGTTCATTTGTTCCTTCTCCAAAGTGAGGATGGGTGTCCACATGGAGTCACCAGCCTGCTCACAGGTATGAGAGTTCTCCCCTGTGGTTGGGGAGCAGGCTGAGAGGTCAGGCCGGAGAAGTATAAAGAGCCTGTGCCTTGAAGGCCTCATCTAGGGTGTGCTCAGGAGCTTGACCTTTCAGTAGAAGGAGCAGGGGAGGAATTGGAATTGGAGGGATTTCAGCAAGTGGGTGACTAGATGTGTTCTGTGCTCTAGGAAGAGTGGAATCGGCTGTATGGGAGATAGATGGGAGAAACAAGACACAAGGGTACATGGAGACCAATTAAGAGAATTTTGTGAAAATGTAGGTGATAAATAGTGAGGTAAGAACTAGGTGGTAGTGGAAGATTCATTAAATGTTTATGAGGCAGAATTAACAGGACTTGGAAAGTATGGTGCAAAGAGAAGGTGAATCTTGAGAGACTCCCAGACTTTTGGATTAGGTGATGTGCTGGACAGGGCTACAGTTTGTGGATCTAAGTAATGCAGAAGGAGTAGTGTGAAGGGGAGAAAGAAACGAATTCAGTACTTGTCCTTGAATTAGTTATGGCTTAGTACTCGTATATATGCTTTTCTTTCCCAGCTTAAATGACCTGACATAAGTACTTTAGTTTTTTGGGGAATGTGTATTGATCAAGGAAAAAGTGTCTCATAGACTTGTGGTCTTGTGGCTGGCTTATTTCACAGGTGTTATTTCACACATCTCAACGTTGAGATCTGTATGTGACTCTCTGCTGCCTCTTGGTGGCAGAAGATGAACTTAGCAAGGCAAAAAAAATTGAAGCTATTCTCTTGGTCTTTTTCTTTTCCAAACATTTGGTGGCGTACTCATGAAAGTTAAAACTTTCCAGAGATTAATGTGGTCATGTTAATGTCATGAGTGGATATTTCAAGACATCTGAAGTTTTAATTTTATTAATTTGTTCCATTTTGATATGGTAGCAAAAGATTCAGTAAATGTTGGTTTTGATTCTTCTAGGTTTCTTCTTTTTTTTTTTTTTTAAAGAAGCATGTAACAATTTCTAGGGTTGTTTTGGTAAATTAAATGGCTGTAAGATTATTTTCTAACTTTTTAAATATAATTTTAGCCATTTATTGAATAGGAACAGATAGCTAACTGCTTAGCTAGTCCCTGTGTCTTTTTATAGAAGTCTTGTTCTTCTTTAACACATTGTATTAGTCAGGGTTCTCTAGAGGGACAGAACTAATAGAATAAATGTATATATGAAGGGGCATTTATTAAGGAGCATTGACTCACACAATCACAAGGTGAGGTCCCATGATAGGCTGTCTGCAATCTGAGGAGCAAGGAAGACAGTCGGAGTCCCAAATCCTCAAAAGTAGGGAAGCCGACAGTGCAGCTTTCAGTCTGTGGCCAAAGGCCTGTGAGCCCCTGGCAACCACTGATGTAAGCCTGAGAGTCCACAAGCTGAAGAACTTGGAGTGTGATGCTCAAGGACAGGAAGCCTCCAGCACTGGAGAAAAGTGATGTCTGCTCCTTCCACGTTCTTCTGCGCTTTTATCCTAGCTGTGCTAGCAGCTGATTAGATGGTGCCTACCCAGATGGAGGGTGGGTCTGCCCCAACCAGTCCATTGACTCAAATGTTAATCTCCTTTGGCAACACCCCTTACAGACAAACCCAGGAACAATGCTTTACATCCTTCAATCCAATCAAGTTGGCGCTCAATATTAACCATCACACATGTTTATTTGGTGGAACCCTTCTGGTTGGGGAGTGTGTTTTCCTGTACAATAGGTTAGAAAGCTTGATCATCAGCATATAATACTTTTTATTTATTGTTGACCACAATATGACTTTTGTTATTTGCTTTTGAAAGCTAGTATTTTGGCTGCATAACATCTGTCATTTTTAACTTAGTAAATTCTTTTCCAGATAAACTCCGAAGAAGTATGCCTAACCTAGCCCGGATGCCAAGTACAACTGCCATTAGTAGCAATGTTAGTTCTCCAGTCACCGTGCGAAATAGTCAGAGTTTTGACTCAAGCTTGCATGGAGCTGGAAATGGAATTTCAAGAATACAGTCTTGTAGTGAGTATAATTATTTGATATAATTATATGTTGTATAATTGTATAATTATTTTTTATAATTTTTAATTGTAAGGAAAATAACTTACTGTTCCATTTCTTTATATTTACTTGCAAGAACACTAAACTTTTCTCCTTGCCCTGTAACTTATTTTTTTATTTCACCATTAGAGTTGAATAGTATTTTTACCAGTGCCTGTGGTATCAATTAATAGTAGTAAATTGTTAATTGTATAATAATAGTAAATTATTTGTAGTCCTTTATATCCTAAGATAGTAGAAGTACTACATAGTGATTGATTTATCCACTCATCATACAAAAATTTTTTACCTTGCAGATTCTCCCCTTTCTAGCTGTGTACCTGAATAAGCACACTTAATTCTGTCTAGCCATTCCTTTTGTCTTGGTTTTCACCTGTGCATACTTTTGTCCTTTTTCCCCCTAAATGAAGTTATATTTTAGTGTGTCTAAAGTAGTTTTTATCCACTCTATTTTAGCTTACCCCACATTCTGTTACTTACTTTCTATGTTTCACCCAGCAGTGAGTGACACAGTGAGCATTAGGCCTAGTGCTGTGTGTCTTCACTTTATGTGGGGATGTGCTGTTTTGGCATCCCCCCCGATTCCTACTCATGCTGTTCCTATGGGTTATTGCAGTTAAGTCTTACACTGACCTCTAGGAGGAAGGCACAAGGTCATATTACCAGCATTCATAAAAATGCCCAAACTTGGGAGGCTGAGTGTGTTCTGAGTGTACTGGCCAAGAGTCATCAAACAGATGTCTTAAGTCTGCATCTAAAATGATTTGTAGCTCTTCTCCCTCAAACTTAGTTTTGGGTGTCAAATTGTATCTCCCTAACATGCAGTGGTCTTTCATTTCTTTGTTTTAGTTCCTAACAACCAAGTGACATCATTTACTCTGTGTACAAGGAACAGTGCTAACTAGTTTATATTCATTATCTTATTTAGTTCTACCAACAACTCTATGAATTAGTTTCTACTGCCATTCTTATTTTGTGGAAGAGGGAACAGTTCTGACAGGTTAAGGAACAGTTTGTCCAAGGCCATGCAGGTGGAAGAGCAGAGAGGCAGACCTAGGTCTGGTTACTCCCAGAGCGTATGCTTTTAACTGTTAGGATATTTTAGCTCCACGTGTTGTTCTTCTCTGCTTAGCATTCTTCCTTTTCCTTCTTCGTTCAGTTTACTCCTATTTACTTTTATAATACAGTCCAAATACCATGCCCTTGGAAGTTTTCATTGCTTACTTGATCACCCTAACACACTTTCTCAAATACCCCCCAAACAATGCTAGAGTGGATTAGATTTTTGGTGCTTACCTCTGTTATTCAATGTACCATGTTTTACCATTAATGTATTTGTCTTCCTTACTAGATTGTAAGCTCCCTCTGGGCTTGGACCATCATTTATTTGATTTTCTGTTCCCAGTGCCTGACATGTTACCTGAACATAAGGAACTCAGTGAATGCTTGAATGAATGCCACAGGATTCTATGTTAAGGCTTGACCTGTTAAATATTTGAACCAATGACTTGTATAAGGACACGGAAACAACCTATGAAATTTGCTAATGGTGGAAACTGAGAGAACTAATAACTGATTTTATGTCAGGAGGTTACAACAATGGGCTAAATGTATCATGAAGAAACTTAGCTGATAGAAATATACAATTCTATATCTGAATTACAAAAATCAATAGTGTACCAGACTAGACCACATGATGAAACCCCGTCTCTACAAAAAATACAAAAATTAGCCAGGCGTGATGGCCAATGTCTGTAGTGCTAGCTACTTGGAAGGCCAAGCTAGGAGGATCACTTGAACTCAGGAGGTTGAGGCTACAGTGAGCTGAGATTGCACCACTGCACTCCAGCCTGGGCAATAGATAGAATGAGACCCTGTCTTGGAAAAAGAAAAAAAGAAAATCAATAGTGTAAGTGCAGGATGAGAGAAATAACAGTTTTGAGAATAGCAAATATGGTAACAATTAGGAATTTTTGTTGACTCCAACTCAGTGTGTATTAATAGCAGATTTGAGTGCCAGAAAAGTGTATGTAACCCAAAATAGAATGTACACCGCAAAGAATGTTCAGTTTTGATTGAAGTGCCCCCAAAATGATGGGAAATGTCAAAAGGATACAGGAACCAAGTTGAAGGAATCTCCTAATGGCCAAATATGGGACAGTTTGAGCCACAGAGTAAATAATTATAGTAATGGATTATAACTGATGGAATAAAATAAATATGCATGGATTCATACTTAATTGGATAAATAGAAAGAGAGGAACATCTTCTTTGTAGTAGATTCTAATTCATACATGTAAAAGAAATGAGGAAATTATAAAAATCATCATTTCTTTTTTTTTTTTTTTTTTTTTTTTTTTTTTTGAGACGGAGTCTCGCTCTGTCGCCCAGGCTGGAGTGCAGTGGTATGATCTCGGCTCACTGCAAGCTCCACCTCCCGGGTTCACGCCATTCTCCCGCCTCAGCCTCCGAGTAGCTGGGACTACAGGCGCCCGCCACCACGCCCGGCTAGTTTTTTGTATTTTTAGTAGAGACGGGGTTTCACCATGTTAGCCAGGATGGTCTCGATCTCCTGACCTCGTGATCCACCCGCCTCGGCCTCCCAAAGTGCTGGGATTACAGGCTTGAGCCACCGCGCCCGGCCTAAAAATCATCATTTCTAAGTCAAGCATAATACTGAGAGAAAGCCCCCAAGAAGAAGAATAATGTGTAGGAGAAAGAGGACTCCCATAACTTTTGTTTCAAATCTTAAGATTATGCTCTCATTTACTTTCATTTCTGAGCATTCTAAGCCACTGTTATTTATGCATTCTAAATTCTTATCATGACAATTACTAGTTCTGGGCCATTTTGCTTTCAGGAAAGAACAGAGGTAGGATAGAGAGTTGGAAAGGCTGCAAGTATAGAAGGAGGAACACAGTTGTAGTCAAAGACCCGGTTTTGGGTTTTTTCTTAATAATAAACTTTTTGGAAAGTTAAGCATTCTTTATCAGTCTTGTTTTCTCATTTGTAAAATTAGGATTATGCCTATTAATTTTAACTAGTTTCTCTTATGTGTGTTTTTTTTAAATCAAGGGTGGTGATATATGTTATATGTAGGAGAGATAGTAGGATTGTATTCCTGAATAAACTGTTCTGGAATTTCATTGACTCTGTAGATCAATTTTTGGAAGATCTTAACGATATTAAGTCTTTGCATCCATTAATGTGTAATAGTCCTTCATTGACTTAGGTCTTTAATATCAGTGAAGTTTTGTAGCTTTCTATATAGAGGTTTTGTGTTTCTATAGTTAAAGTAATTTCTAGGTATTGTGATTTTTATTAAGTAGTGTTTTTGTAAATATTTCCTCAGGTTTCTTTCAGTTTCTACTAATTTGCTGGTATTTTGAATAGAATTGATTTTTGTGTTTTGATATTGAATCCAGCAACTTTGCTAAATTAATATCTCCTAATAGTTACCCAACATAATGAGTGCATATGATCACCAAAACATGTTCAAGAAGGTTCACAAAACCCCAAATTAGAAATAACCTAGCTTTCTGTCATCAGGGGAATAATCACATTCATACAATGGAATACTGCTTAGTAACACAGCAACACAGGTGAATCTCACAGACAAAGTATCTAGTGAAAGAAGCCAGATTAAAAGGTTAACATACTAGTAAGTCTGTTCCTAGGAATTTCCTCAAAATAGGAAAAAACAGTCGTTGTGATAAAAGTGGGAATAACACTTACCTTTGGAGGAGTTTTGACTAGGAAGAGGCATGAGAGAGCCTTATAAGGTGCTGGTGATGCTTTTTATCTTGATAGGAGGAGTGGTTACATGAACATGTTCACTTTGAACATTCACTGAGCTTAGACTTAAGATATATGTATTTTATGTATATTATGCTTCAGAAGAAATTGAGCCAAATTCATGTATTGAAGGTTTTTTAAAAATTAACTTTTTTAAAGCGGTTTTCAGCTTATAGAAAAATTGGACAGGAAGTACAGAGAATTCCCACATAATCCCTCACCCTCTGTATCCTCTTAGTTTCCCCTATTATTAACATGTTGTGTTAGTGCAGTAGACTTGTTACAGTTGCTGAACGAGTATATTAAAAAATTGCATGGTTAAAAACTAGCAAATTAAGGCATTACAGAATTGGTTAGAAAGAATCTTAGAGATGATTTGTCAACCAAGAGAACTTTGCTGTGTCACGAAGCTAAATGGGAATACACCTAAGGGAGGATCTTATATAGACCTTATTTTTTATAAAGTTTTTTGACTACTATACACATATATCGGCATTTCTTTTTTTTTTTTTTTCTTATTTCAATAGTTTTTGGGGTATAGCTGGTTTTTGGTTACATGGATGAGTTCTTTAGTGGTGATTTCTGAGATTTTGATGCACCTGTTACTGAAGCAGTGTACACTGTACCCAGTATGTAGTTTTTATCCCTCAGCACCCTCCCAAACTTCCCCACAAGTCCCCAGAGTCCATTATCTCCTTCTTATGCCTTTGCATCCTCATAGCTAAGCTCCCACTGACACGTGAGAACATACGATATTTACTTTTCCATTCCTGAGTTATTTAACTTAGAATAATGGCCTCTAGCTCCATCCAAGTTGCTGCAAAATATTACTTTGTTTCTTTTTATGGGTGAGTAGTATTCCTTGATGTATATATACCACATTTTCTTTATCCACCCATTGGTTGATGGGCACTTAGGTTGGTTCCATATCTAAGCCATTGCAAATGGTGCTGCTATAAACATGCGTGTGAATGTGTCTTTTTTTTCATATAATGACATCTTTTCCTTTGGGTAGATACCCAGGAGTGGGATTGCTGGATCAAATGGTAATTCTACTTTTAGTTCTTTAAGGAATCTTCATACTGTTTTCCATAGTGGTTCTACTAATTTACACTCCCATCAGCAGTGTAAAAGTGTTCCCTTTTGCCATGTCCACACCAACATCTGTTGTTTTTGACTTTTTAATTATGGCCATTCTTGCAGGGTAAGGTGGTATCTCATTGTGGTTTTAATTTGCATTTCCCTAATGATTAGTGATGTTGAGCATTTTTTCATTTGTCTGTTGGCTGTGTATCTTTTTTTGAGAAATATCAATTCATGCCCTTTGCCCACTTTTTGATGGGGTTACTTTTTTTTTTTTTCTCCTTGCTGATTTATTTGAGTTCCTTGTAGATTCTGGCTATTAGTCCTTTGTCAGATGCATAGTTTGCAGATATTTTTTCCTACTCTGTGAGTTGTCTGTTTACTCACTGATTATTTTGGTGTGCAGAAGCTTTTTAGTTTAGGTACCGTTTATTTATTTTTGTTTGAGTTGCCTTTGCTTTTGGGATTTTAGTCATGATTTCTTTGTCTAAGCCAATGTCCAAAAGAATTTTTCCAATATTATCTTCTAGAATTTTTATGGTTTCAGGTCTTAGATTTAAGTCTTTGATCCATTTTGAGTGGATTTTTGTGTAAGGTGAGAGATGAGGATTCAGTTTCATTCTTCTACATGTGACTTGCCAGTTTTCCCAGCACCGTTTACTGAATAGGGTGTCCTTTCCCCAATTTATGTTTTTGTATGCTTTGTCGAAGATCAGTTGGCTGTAAATATTAGGGTATATTTGTGGATTCTTTATTGTTTGGTCTATGTGCCTATTTTTATAGCAGTACCATGCTGTTTTGTAACTGTAGCCTTGTAGTATAATTTGAAGTTGGTTAATGTGGTGCCTCCAGATCTTTTTGCTTAGTCTTGCTTTGGCTATGTGGGCTGTTTCTTGGTTCCATATGAATTTTAGGATTTTTTTTCTGGTTCCACGAAGAATGATGGTGGTATTTTGATAGAATTGCATTGAATCTGTAGATTGCTTTGGACAGTATGGTCATTTTACAATATTGATTCTTCCAATTCATGAGCATGTTTTTGTTTGTGTCATTTGTGATTTCTTTCAATGGTGTTTTGTAGTTTTCCTTGTAGAGATTTTTCACCTCCTTGGTTAAGTATATTTCTAAGTATTTTATTTTGTATTTTACAGATGTTATAAAAGGAATTGAGTTCCTGATTTAATTTTCAGCTTGGTGGTTGTTGGTATATAGCCGTGCTACTGATGTGTGTACATTGATTTTGTATCCTGAGACTTTACCGAATCCATTTATCAGATCTAGGAGCTTTCTGGATGAGTCTTCAGGGTTTTCTAGATATACAATCATATCGTTGGCAAACAGTGACAGTTTGACTTCCTCTTTTCCAATTTCGATGCCCTTTATTTCCTTCTCTCCTGTAAGTACTCTGGCTAGGACTTCCTGTGTTATGTTGACTAGAAATGGCGAAAGTGGACGTCCTTGTGAAGGATGTTTTGTTCCAGTTCTCAGGGGGAATGCTTTCAACTTTTCCCCATTCAATATGATGTTGACTATGGGTTTGTCATATATCGCTTTTATTACTTTGAAGTAAGTCCCTTCTATGCCTATTTTGTTTTTATCATAAAGGGATGCTGGATTTTATCAGATGCTTTTTTTGTATCTATTGAGATGATCATATAGTTTTTGTTTTTAATTCTGTTTATATGATGTATCACATTTACTGATTTGCCTATGTTAAACCATTTCTGTATCCCTGGGATGAAACCTGCTTGATCATGATGTGTTATCTTTTTGATAACACACGTATCAGTATTTCTGTGTATAGATTTTGCCTTGTATACTTGCGCAAATTTTTTTAAGGAAAAACTAAATTTAAGGAAATATTTTCAAGAGATGATAAATAAAACCATAGATACTTTTTTTGGGTTTTTTTCCCCCTTATATTTATTTCAAAAAAGTATTTATCATATATTTTATGATTAAGTAAATTCAACTGTTTTAGAAAACAGGGTATGTCCATGTTTAACCATGTTGCAAGTACTAGGCAGCAAAGGCTTGGGTAGTTAGTAGGCAGAATCTGTGTATAAGTTTCTATTAAATTTGATTGTTTTTCTTGGAGAAAGGGATTAAAAAATTTAAAAACTTCTGCCTACCAGTTTGTTACCTTTTAATGTGAAATGATACACAAAGTTGGGTCAGTATATAGATGAAATTTTTAAGGGTTCTTACCCAGAGAGTTCCCGGTTCCCTTCATTTTATAAGTTTTGCTACTATTATGTATGTAATAATGCCCAGCAACTCAAAGAGAGATAAATGACGTATGAATATTATTTAAGGAATATATCTGTAATAAACTGTTTGTACCTACAGATACCACCTCTGTCTTCTTTTCTATAATAACAACTATTAAAGTATCTCCTCATTTTGTTTTCATGGAACCACCACCAAAGCAAGCATCAAGAAATCCTAATTTCTAGCAAGCAAGCAGGGAAGGCTTTGTCTTGTAAGAACTCAGAGATCATCACATTTGTAAAGGAAAGGAGGCTGTGCTTAGAACTGGCTTCTGCATATAGCCAGGCACTTCAAAATGTGGCTCATGGACAGACCAGGAGATCCGTATCAAGGATTAGAATTTTCCATGACTCAGTGCCATCTGGAGCCTATATTCCATTTATCTCCTCCTGTGTATATTGTACTCTCAGGCATAATTGGCTCTTCTGAAAATAGCACACATTTCCTAAGTTGGATAGTGGTAGAAGCTCGCTCACATGAATATCATTTTCTCTTCTAGTTCCATCACCAGGACAGCTTCAACACAGAGTCCACAGCGTGGGGCATTTCCCAGTGTCTATCCGACAACCTCTTAAAGCCACAGCCTATGTGAGTCCAACCGTTCAAGGCAGCAGTAACATGCCTTTATCAAACGGCTTACAGCTGTATTCCAACACAGGAATCCCCACACCGAACAAAGCTGCAGCTTCTGGGATAATGGGTCGCAGTGCACTCCCAAGACCTTCGTTGGCAATAAATGGGAGTAACCTGCCTCGAAGCAAAATTGCACAACCTGTTAGAAGGTAAGAATCTTTATTTGCATAATTTCATTTGCAGTTTGGAACTAGAAACTGCTCCAGACACACGCTGACCTTTCCTTTGGCTCACTTTAACCTTAGTAAGTCACTACCCTTTGTGGCCTGACTTGTGCTCTCCTCTCTTTGAAAAGTGATGGATATCCCTGTGTGGGTCAGGTCCCCTTCTCTCTGATATCATTTTCTTCGCCTACTCCCTCATCACTATCACTCCTAACACTTTTGCTTTTACCAGATAAGGTCTGTCTCCAGAGCTTTTGTAGCTTTCTTCTCCCAAGTTACTTGCACGGCTTGCTCTGTGCCTCCTTCAGGTCTTTGCTCAGATGGCAGCTCTATCCAAAAATTGTAGGGCAGAGGGAGTTGACTCTTTGGTTCATTGCTGTGTGTCCCCAATGCCAAGAACTATGCCCAGTATGGGTAGGATCTCAAATATTTGTTGAATCAGTCATTTTTAATCAAAATATGGAAAAATGTGTCAGGCATATGTGCACATGCACACCCTCCTCCCACACATTTATGGTTTGAAAAGCATCTTAATGACATTCACCTGGGGCTTTATCAGCTTATGTTGGTAAGTTCAGTATGGTTCAGGTAGGAATTTTTTTTCCCCCTTCAAAGTTTCAGAGTTTTTTTTTCTACTTCAAAGGACATTTTAGTCCAGCTCTTGGTCATGATGTACCCTTCTTGAACTGAATATTATGGAGTGTCTTATATTAAAAATCCATAAAAGTGGTTTGAGGAAAGATTGAGGAAATAAAGACAGTAAATACAGACAGCTCTTTCAAGAAATTAGGATATGAAGGAGGAGAAGGAGGAAACATAGTAAAAATTTGAAAGAGGTGGAACAAGCAATTTTTTCTGTCTTTATGCATTTATGGATATATAAATAGTTCTGTTTTTTGTTTAGAAGTAATGGATGCTCAGATCAACAACAAATTTCGAAAAACAGAAACTGTTGAAAAATAGAAAAGTAAAGACTGACCCATGATCCTACTACCAGATAGAAACAATTTTGGTACATGTTTATTTATTCAGTAATTTTTGACTTATTCTGCTTTGTAAATGCCGAGCTGCGTCATCATGCTGATGGCTGACTAGAATCACATTATTTGATATATATGGTTATTATAGACCATACATTTATCCTTGAATTTGTGTCTCCAAACTAAACACTTGGAAAGGTCACTGCTAGACAATATAAGATGGTCTGTTTCCCCAAACTTAAGCAAATACTAGGTATTATTCCTTTTAATTTTTTTTAATTTAAATTTTTTATTTTATGTATTTTCTTAGAGACAGGGTCTTGCTCTTTTGCCCAGGCTGGAGTGCAGTGGTGTGGTCATAGCTTGTTGTAACCTCAAACTCCTGGGCTGAAGTGATCCTCCTGCCTTGCTAGGACTATAGTGCATGCCACCACTCCCAGATAATTTGAAAAAAAAAAATTGTAGAGATAAAGGTCTTGCTGTGTTGCCCAAGCTGGTCTTGAATGCCTGGCCTCAAGTGTTCCTGTCGCCTTGGCCTCCCAAAGTGTTGGGATTATAGGTGTGAGCCACTGCACTCAGCCGAAGGTTCTTTTTAAATGTTTTGCCAACATGATAGGCAAATCTTTAATTACTAATACGGTTTTGAAAGTTTATTCGTATTCATTTGCTGTTTGTATTCAACAGAGTAACCATTTATGTTTTTAGGCCATTTTTCTAGCCAGGAGTCTGTATTACTTATTTTAAAATATGTTTTACACATTAAGGGTATTGGTCCCTTTATTTACGTTGGAAATTTACTTGTGCAAATACAACACGCATGACACTCTGCCACGAACTGGGGCTCTGGGAGATAAGCATGCAGTGAAGACCCGTAAGTGTGAACCACAAGGTACACTTGAGATACTGCCAATGGCTTCTCATTACTGCAGTGGAGGAGCATAGATGGGAGAGTAGGTCAAAGTAAGTAATGTGACTCACAGGATTATTAACAATCTCTCTGTGTTTTTCTTGTCTCTTTTTAGTTTTCTTCAGCCTCCAAAGCCTCTGTCTTCACTCAGCACTCTGAGGGATGGAAATTGGAGAGATGGTTGCTACTGATGCAGTTTTATGTACCCTTGAGAAATGGGAAAGAAGTAAAAATGAGGGTTGTGTTACCTAGCTGGCTGGGTAGCAGTGGATGTTGGGATATTCTTTCCCTTTTGTGTTTTAATATATTTACTGCATTGTTTCTCAATGGACCAGTCACCAGAGACTAATTATTGCACTTAAATATTTGCCTGAGATACTGCAACAGTCTCAAACCCATGGTTGCAGTATTGTGACACTTAGATCTAGGAAGTTTTTGTAGAACTGCTCTGTACCTGAATACTTTTTGAGAGAATTGAGATGTATCAATAATGCTTTGCCATATGAGTTTTTTAAAGTAACTTGTTCAATTTACTTACGTGTTCTAAACATCTTTCCATTACATGTTCTGTATTTTAATACATTGCATATTGACAACTAGGTTCTATAATGTATGCTTTGAAATTTACTTTTTTATAGTTTACAGGAATTTTATTTTTTGTGCCTATTTCTTTTTACACCTATGTGAACCACTATGGAACAACTTAAATTTTGTGCCATAAAAATATTTTTGTGGTAAGGTACTATTTTTTTAGCTCTAGGGATATATCAGCAAAAACACATCATGCAATTTGAGAGACATAATTTTGTGTTGAATGAGCACAACATAATTTGAAGCATTGCAAGGAGATAGCCAGACAGCAGAATTAAATGGTCCTGTCTTTTTCATTGTTAATTTATTGTCATACATGGGTTTCATATTTATAACGGCATCATGAGCTCATTGCACTTAATACCTGCAATGTTTGCTACTGTACCACAATTGATTTTCAATACTTTATTACAAAGGATGAAACTGTAATGTTTTATTAACAATGCTTCTGGAAATGAATGCATTTTAAAGCAAATAAATCTTTTTGATAGACCTTTTACAAAATCCATTTGCACTAATGAATGCTTTCTTATGGCATATAACTTAATATTTGTTACTGTGTACACTGCTGTTTTGGAATGTTCAGAAATAAAGACTCTATTTCAGCAATACCAGGTCATGCATGAATGTGCAGCATAAACAGTATAACTACACATGTGTTTCACTACAATTGTGAAAATGGTTATTGTTACCCTGTTCTCGTGCAGGGCATTTATATCTCAAGCAGGTAGACTTAGAATATTCACATTCATAAAATTATTTTTCTTTTCCCAAATATTCCTGATAAGAAATGTGTGATTTTCTTACATCAGTTAGGTAGATTTACAGTGAGGTTTAGGTTCATTTCAAGAGGCCACTAAAACTCACGCAGCATGTCGCTGAGAAACACATTTACAGATGAACATTGTCAGTGGAGATTTTATTTTATTTTGTAGGAGTTGAATTTGAAATACTTTCTCAGTGTCAGTAAAATAGCAAAGTGCTAGCCTTATTCTACCTTATATTTGATAAATGTTGGAAAACTTTACTTGAAGGTACTGTGGGAAGTTTAGGCAAAGTTTTTATGTTAGGTTTTAAAATGGAGTTCTACCTATAGTCATTAGAGGTTTTTAGTTGTTTTAAAGTATACCTTTGTATGTAATTCTGTCTAGAACTAAAAGGAATGTTTGTTTAAATAACTTGCACTTTAAGTGGAATGTGACCTAGAGGAGTTGAGATATGAAAAGGGAAGTAATATTTATTAAGCATCCCTTCAGTCAAAAGAACTGTGGAAGATGTTTTATATACATTTATCTAGGTCTAACTTTCACCTACTATTATCACCATTTTAAAGATGAAGACACAAGTCCCACAGAGGTGACTATTTGTCAGTTTTTTGCATCACTATAAAGGAATACCAGAGATTGGGTAATTTATAAAGAAAAGAGCTTTAATTGGCTCATGGTTCTGCAGGGTGTACAGGAAGCATGGTGCCAGCATCTGCTTGGCTTCTGGTGAGGCCTCAGAAAGCTCATAGTCATGGCGGAAGGCAAAGGGGGAGCTGGTGCATCACATGGCGAGAGGGACAGCAAGGGGTGGGGTGGGGTTTCCTCACTTTTTAAAAAACAACCAGATTTGTGCGAACTCAGAGTGAGAGCTCACTTATCACCCAGGAGATGGCACTAAGCCATTTATGAGGGATCTGGCCCCGTGATCCAATCACCCTCCACCAGGCCCCACCTCCAACATTGGGGGTCACATTTCAACATGAGATTTGGAGGGGACAGATATCCAAACCATATCGTTGTGCCCCGGCCCCCAAGTCTCATGCCCTCCTTGGATTGCAAAATGTAATCTTCTCTTCCCAACAGTTGCCCAAAATTTTAATTCATTCCAACAACAAGTCCAAAGTCCTGAGTCTCATCTGAGACTCATCTTCTTCCACCTATGAACCTGTATTATCAAAACAAGTTATTTACTTCCAAGATACAATGATGGTACAGGCATTGGGCAAACATTTCCATTCCAAAAGGGAGAAATTGGCCAAAAGAAAGGGGCAACAGGCCACACATAAGTCTGAAACCCAGCATGGTAGTCATTAAATCTTAAAGCTCCAAAATAATTTCCTTTGACCCCATGTCCTCCATTCAGGACACACTGGTGCAAGGGGTGGGCTCCCAAGGCTTTGGGCAGCTCTGCCTCTGTGGTTTTGCTGGGTGCAGCTCATGTGGCTGCCCTCACAGGCTGGAGTTGAGTGCATGCAGTTTTTGCAGGCTCAGGATGTAAACTGCCAGTGGCTTTACCATTCTGGGGTCTGAAGGGCAGCAACCCCCTTCCCACAGCTGCACTAGGCCATCCCCAGCGGCAGCTCTGCAGGGGGCCTCCAACTCCACATTTCCCCTTAGCACTACCCTGGTAGAGGCTGCTGTGAGGGCTCTGCCTCTGTGGCAGGCTTCTGCCTGGACACCCCGGCTTTCTGATACATCCGCTGAAACTAGATGAAAGCTGCCAGGCCTCCTTCACTCTTGCATTCTGTGTATTTTCAGACTTAACACCATGTAGGAGCCACCAAGGCTTATGAGTTGCCCTCTGAAGAGGCAGCCCAAGATGTGTTTGTGGCCCTTTGAGCTGAGGCAGGGGCCAGATTAGCTGGGATATAGGGAACAATACCCTGAGGCTGTACCGTGCAGTGGGCCTGGCCTCTTAAACCATTCTTCCGCCATAAGGCTCCTGAGCCTGTGATGCAATGGACTGCCTCAGAGATTTCTGAAATACCTTTGAGGCCTTTTCCCCGTTCTCTTGGATATTCGCATTTGGCTTTTTTTCTGTCATGCTAATCTCTCACGTGGTTGCTCCACAGGCCACTTGAATTCCTTCTCTACCACAGGGCCAAGTTGTGACTTTTCCAGTTTTTTTTTTGTTTTTTTTGTTTTTTTTGTTTTCTAGACAGATCTTGCTCTGTTGCCCAGGCTAGAGTGCAGTGCCATGATCTCAGCTCACTGTAACCTCCACCTCCTGGGTTCAAGTTATTCTCCTGCCTTAGCCTCCAGAGTAGAGTAGCTGGGACTACAGACATGCACCACCACACCGGCTAATTTTTGTATTTTAAGTAGAGACTGGGTTTTGCCAAGTTGGCCAGGCTATTCTCAAACTCCTGACCTCAGGTTGATCTGCCTACCTCAGCCTCCCAAAGTGCTGGGATTACAAGGTGTGAGCCACTGCACCTGGCTGACTTTTCCAAATTTTATGATCCCTTTTATATATTCTGACTTTTAAGTCATCTCTTTGCTTCTGTATCTGATTATAGGCTGTTAGAAGCAGCCATAGCACTTCTTGAACGCTTTGCTGCTTAGAAACTTCCGCCAGATACCCTAAGTCGTCTTAAGTTCAACCTTCCACAGATTCCTAGGACATGGGCACAATGCAGCAAGCTCTTTGCTAAGGAGCAACAAGGGGAACCTTTACTCCAATTCCCAATAAGTTCCTCATTTGCATTTGAGGCCTCTTCAGCCTGGCCTTCACTGTCCATATCTCTATCAGCATTTTGGTCACAACCATTCAAACAGTTTCTAAGAAGTTCCAAACTTCCCCTCATCTTCCTGTCTTTAGCCCTCCAAACTAACCTCTGTCTTTACCCTGTTCTAAAGCCACTTCCACATCTTCAGGTATCTTTATAGCAATGCCCTACTCCTCAGTACTAATTGTCTGTGTTTATTTTTTGCATTGCTATAAAGAAATACCTGAGTCTGGGTGATTTATGAAGAGGTTTAATTGACCCACAGTTTTGCAGAGTGTACAGGAAGCATGGTGCCAACATTTGCTCAGCTTCCTGTGAGGAGTCAGGAAGTTTACAGTAATGGCAGAAGGCAAATGGGGGAGTCAGTGTATCACACGGTGGGAGGGAACAAGAGAAAGGGAGGAGGTGCCAGGCTTTTTAGAGCTCTCGTGTGAACATACTAGCCAGGGAGGACACCAAGCCATTCAAGAGGGAATCTGCCCCATGAACCAGAAACCTCCCACAAACTCGCTTTCAACACCGGGGATTACATTTCAACATGAGATTTGGAGGGGACAAAATATCCAGACCATATTAATGACATTCACCTTGGGTAAACATTTAGCTAGTGAATAGTGAAGCTAATCTTTGAATCCAGGTTTATCTGACTCAAAAGTCTTATTTTTCCCCACAACTGTGCTCTCTTCCAACGAACACATGTAGCTGGTATATTTTTTAAAAAATCACTTTTTATTCTGCAGAGAAAATTAAAGGATTCAATTCATTTTCCATTCAAATGTTTGATTTATATTCAAAAAAGTCTGCTTAGCCCTTGCAATAAAATAACAAAGATCCCTTCATCTTGGCTTTTACATTCTTGTTGGGGAGAGACATAAACCATAAACAGGTAAGAAAATCACTGCAGGTTAGGTCATAAGTTCTGTGGGAGAAAAAAGATCAAGGCAAGAGGAGTTAAGAGAAAATAGGGATGGGGAGAGATCACACTATTAAAAGGGTCACCTTAGTAGATATTAATATAGGAGTTAAAAAGAAACTAGGCAGTTAGTGAGGGTACAGGAGTCTTTGGTAAGGTTTTTCTTTTAATGAAAGGCAGCCCCCAAATCATTTCTTTTCTAACAAAAAGCAGCCTGGAAAATCAAGCTGCAGGCATAGATAAGCAAGCCGGAAGCTTGCATACGTGAATGCTGGCAGCTGTGCCAGAAGCATTCAACATGAAGGTTTTCTCTTCCCTTTTCCTTGTCACCACATGTGCAGGTGTCATGGCGTTGGCCAGGTAGAAACCCCATCTGGATAACAAAAGATTGGGGTGGGATGGCCAGTGTCTTCGAGGACCATGTAAATGTCACACCTCGTCCAATCATTCCCTTGGGTCTTGTGTAAATCAGACATCACTTCCTCAAGCCCCTCTATAAAACCAACCGCATCCCGCTGCTAACAGGGAGATCCATTCAGAATCCCCCTCCCTCTACATGGGGGAGCTTTTCTTTTGTTTATTTCACCTATTAAACTTTCCGCTCTTAAACCCACACCTTGTGGTCTTCATGTTTCTTAGTGTGAGACAACGAACCTCGGGTGTTGCCGCAGACAAATGATGCCGCTTCAATATCATTAAGGAGCTAGTATGAGCAGAGGCTTGACGATGGAGAGTTAATCCTGAAGATGTTTCACAACCTTTTTCACCTGGAGTTCTATAGACCATGAAATAGTTGAAGTGACTATTTTCACAGTTCTTCCCAGGAGGGTTTATAACTATTATTATCCCTCTAAATGCACAGGAAAGAATTTAATACATTATAGAGAGTGGATGTCCCAGGGCAGTGGTTCCAAAGTGTAGTTCTCACACCAGCAGCATCTTTTGAGAACTTGTTAGAAACTCATATTCTCAAGCATCATCCCAGATCCATTGAATGAGCCCTCTGGATGATTTGCAGAATTCCCTTTGAGAAAAGCTGCTAAAAAAGAGGGAATAGCCTGTGTGAAGGCTGTAAGGTGGAGCATGCCTGTGTGTTTGAGGAATAGCAAGGAGGCCAATGTGTCTACAAACAGGGAACAAAGAGTAAAGCTATAGAGATGAGCTCAGAAAGGTGATGGGGCAAGGCCAGGTAGGACACGGTG